GGATATCACAATGAATAAGAATATAACCAATTACATAATATGATTTTTCATGGTATGGTATCAAAGTCTTACTGCTTTTCCCTCTGCAATCCTTGTTGATCTGTCCCAGCTTCAGCAATTCCCTGCCCCGGTGACAGCAACTCCCGTGCAATCGAGAGGTAAGCTGATCTGCACATCACAACTTCCTCTTCTCACCTACTGCTGTTGCTGTTGCTGCAGCAACAACAATGCAGCCACTGCGTCCTCTCAGCTACGCCTCCTCCTCACATTGCAGTGGACGCCTTCGATCTGATCCGGTGCTTGCGCTTGCACCGAAGACGAAGATGTACGATTCCTCTACGTGATCTGCTCTGCAGCAGATCTGCTCCACCTCACTGATCTGATCAGTCCTCTGACGATGCTGATCTGATCTGCCGCCTCCGGCCTCGTCCCATCTCCGGCGATCTCCTCTTACACTGTTCTGCTCTTTTCTACCCTACGACATTAAATCTGCAGCACCAGCACACAGCTGTTGCAGCGTCTGCTTTCGGGAAGGGTTCCCCCAAACTTGATTGCCTACCTCGCCTTTGCAGCGTCTTTCGCTACTCGGCGAACAGCAAACACTCTTGGCAACGATCTTCTGATCTGACATGATCCAACGGACAACAAACACTCATCTGGTTGTGGTCTTCTGATCAGATCCAACGGTGCTTGGCGACTGCTTCTTTCTCTCCCGCTTTCGGGAACAGATAGCGCTGCATCCAACTAAACTAACGCCCCATTCAAAGTCTACAGCATGACCACCTCTTCAACCTCTCTAGTTTTTATGGCTGTTTTGTCAAGCATCATTCATCAAATCTTTCTTTTGGATATAATTTATTGGGTTATTTCAATGACTCTCTAAACTATAAAAAAGATCCAAACACAAAAAGAACAACTTCAATGATAAATCTTGATTATAAATTATAACTATTATAAGATCATTTTATATAATAAGATATTCAAACCTTAACTACTGACTTCATAGTACTACTGATCTTTTTTATAGCACTATAGCAAACACATAGTCAAAGCCACAGATCACTTTTGCCAATTGCTCGTGCACACTCTTAATAATGAAAAAGTTATTCTTAATAATCCTCTTAATAATCCAAGCCATAGATCACTATAACCCAAGAGGAAGATATAATCCTCTTAATAATGAAAAAGTTATTCTTCACACTCTTAATAACGTATGAGATGAATATAAGGAGTTGGCGATCACAATTCGAACCTACAATTCACCGTTATCATTTGAAGAACTCTACGATAAGTTATTTGATCAAGAAGCATCTTTGAAATGAGAAAGAAATGTAGACAGTACTAGTAATTACAACCATATTCAACCAAAAGTCAATCAAAAGTCAAAAGGTAAGAGCAACTAAAACAATAAGAATTTTAATAAATGATTAAATAAATTACCTACTGGACACATAGGTAACCCACAAAGCTACAATCATTCACAATACTATTAATTCTCTAATTACGATGATAACTTTAACCTAGACAACTGAAGAAATCACTTCAACCCTTATAATCAATATAACTACTAAGAGTCCTGACGTCCTCGTAACATTAACAATTAGTGAAGAGTCATTTGTCAACTCTATGACAAAGTGAGATATACAACAAAAGTACGTCGTTCTCGACAAAAGCTTAATGCAATACCCACGTTTTTCTACAGTATCATTTAAATTACATGATGATAATCCTACTATATATTTTACACAATATTAATAAATACTTGACTCTCTATAGTACTTATTTCTTACTCGTCTAGACATTTTATTTGATGTCAATAAATTATCTAGTTCATGCATCAACTCTCTTTTATTCATTAGTCTAAAGTGAACTACATCTTGTGATATCTCAAAGGAACTGTCTTTTCCTTCAAAAAGAATTATTCCCTCGTCTTCATACTTTTATTAATACAAATTAAACAGGAATCATTGAACATCCTAATTGATGTATATTATATTTCTTGGTACAAACGCTATTAGTTAGAGCTCTAAGAAATTAAAAAAACAGTTACATGCTCTACCAAGAAAGTTGAGTATCATGCTATTATTGTCACCACTGTAGAACTTAATTAGGTCAGTAACTTACTTTATGAACTTTGGTGTCACCCCCTCACTCTCCAATAATTTACTAAGACAATGTCAGTGCTATCTATCTAGCTCAATCTTGAACGAGCATAATAAAAGATAATTGATTAAAGCAAATCAAGAAACCCTAATAAAAACAAATGAATACAAATGATTGATAAATGATTATAATGTTAATTGTTAGTTTGGCAAGTCTCATAGTCCCACATCGGGAAAATCAGGCTTATTATCTCCTATTAAAACTATAAATAAGGGTCTGGGCTTTGAAGTCAGATGCACCATAAGAAAACCTAATTGTTTGCTTTAGGCTTTTCTTGTTCAGTAGTTTCAAGTGTTTTATGGTTTAGGAGCATCTTCCTAAGACATTTATAATAGTCCCTTACCATGTAAATCTTGTTGGGTTGCCAAAATTACCCTTTGGTAAATTTTCTGGGGCTAGTTCTAACAAACTGGTATCAGAGCCTGGTTTTGGGATCTTGGATAAGAAGTCCGATCTAGCTCTGACGAGGTTTTACGAGAGGTAGCTACGTACAAACTTCGAATGATTGGAGCAGATAGACAATCTAAGGATTTTAGAATCTCATCTCTTTAGGCACCCTAAAGGCTCTTGGGTGTAAATACACAACTGAAGGTGAAGTTATGAAAGTTTCTAGAAGTGCCCTTGTTGTTATAAAAGCTTATAGATCTGGTAGCTTATATATTTTGCAGGGAACTACTGTCACAGGCTTAGTTGCAGTCACATCATCATCATTGTCTGATTCTGACATCACCAAATCATGGCATATGCGTTTGGGTCATATGAGCGAAAAAGGTTTGAACATATTAAGCAAAAGGGGTCTACTTTGCGAACAGAGTACTAGGCCACTGGATTTTTGTGAATACTGCATTTTTGGAAAGCAGAAAAGAGTCAGCTTCAATTCTTCGACAGTTCACAAAACGAAAGGTACTCTTGACTATATTCATTCAGACCTTTGGGGTCCAGCTCATGTTCAGTCTAAGGGTGGTGCCAAGTATATGTTGACTTTCATTGACGATTATTCTAGGAAAGTTTGGGTTTATTTTCTGAAGCATAAAAATGATGTTTTTCTAATCTTTAAACAATGGAAGGCTTTGAGAAGCAAACAGGTAAACAGATTAAGCGGCTTCGAATAAATAATGACATGGAATTTTGTGAAGCTGACTTTGATGAATTCTGTAAAAATGAAGGAATTGTTCGGCATCGTACTGTTAGGATGACGCCTCAGCAAAATGGTGTGACCGAATGTATGAACAGAACACTCTTGGAGAGAGCAAGGTGTATGATCTCAAATGCAGGGTTAACAAAGGACTTTTGGGCAGAGGCAATTAATATGGCCTGTTACGTTGTCAACCGCGCTCCTTCTGCGGCACTTAACTTTAAAACTCCAGAGGAAGTTTGGTCAGGTACTCCTGCTGATTACTCTGATTTAAAAATTTTTGGGTGTCCAGCATACATGCACATAAATGAAGGAAAATTAGAGTCTCGAGCTAAAAAATGTATTTTCCTTGGGTATGCTTCTGGGGTGAAAGGATACAGATTATGATGTTCTGATCCCAAATCCCCAAAATTTGTAATCAGTAGAGATGTTACTTTTGATGAATTGTCTATGTTATCTTCCAAAGAGGAATATACTAGTTGTACAAATGATAGTGCGCAGAAGCAAGTGGAGCTTGAGATTTGTAGTTCAGATTCTTTTAAGTCGAACTCTTCTACTCAAAGAATGCTAGTAGATGGTCCCGAGTCTATTGACGCAGATGATCCAGAGGAAGAGCAATATTCTATAACCAAGTATAGACCATGGAGAAATATTCGACCACCACAAAGATATGCAAATTTGGTTACATATGCTTTATCAGTTGCAGAAGAAACAAGTGAAGTTGGTGAGCCTACTACCTACTCAGATGCAGTTTCTTATGATAATTCCGCTAAGTGGTTGATTGCGATGAATGAAGAAATAGAATCTCTCCATCAGAATAGAACTTGGGATCTTGTGAAGCCTCCTTCGGGTAAGAAAATTGTTGGATGTAAATGGGATACTATTGCTGAGGGAAAGGTCCTTGTTCAGAAAATTCATACGAAGGACAATCCAACTGATATACTTACGAAGCCTCTTCCGGTTTACAAGTTCAAGTAGTGCTTGGACTTGGTTGGTATTCATTGTTGGTGATTGCCTATTGAGGCTTTTGTTGGGACATGCCAAGGTGGAGATTTATTAGTTTGACAAGTTCCATAGTCCCACATCGAGAAAATCAGGCTTGTTATCTCCTATTGGAACTATAAATAAGGGTCTGGGCTTTGAAGTCAGATGCACCACAAGAAAACCTAATTGTTTGTTTTAGGCTTTTCTTGTTTAATAGTTTCAGGTGTTTTATGGCCTAGGAACATCTTCCTAAGACATT